TGTGCTGAGCAGAAGCTTCAGCATCATTCATTATTTGTTCCTGAGTGAGTGCTGCACGGGGCCACCTCTTACTCCTGTCAGGATATCAGCTCATGGCTGGACACTGGAATATTTGGGAAACAGTTTCAAATCTCTCCCTCTCTCATTCTTTCCCCACTCCTGTCCCTCTATGCAGAAGAAAACAGAAATCATGTCAGGCATTGCATAAAATGATTTATAGGATGGGAGGGCAGAAAGAGCTGGAGACAGATTTTATCAGAGATGCTGAGAGATGTGAAGTAACTATCCCATGTGGAATTGGAAAAGAAACCCTTGGTGTTGAGTTTCTTCAAGAGAAAGGCTGCCCATGCTCTGCCCCATCACTCAGTTACTCAGCTCCTTGTAGCCCCCCTGTAGCAGATGCTGCTTCTCCTCAGCCCCAGCTCTGTGGTGCAATCCCACCTTTCAGCCCCGGGGCTACAAGCAGCATCTCAGTGTTTATTTTTGGTGTAGTAGAATAAAAGACAAGTGCTTAGAGCCAGCTCAGATCCCTGGGTGCACATCAGTATCACAAGCATAAAGGCAAGAGCAGTTGAACGTTAAAATAGGGAGTCTCTCTTGGAATCACTCCGGTTGGAAAAGACCCCTAAGATCATCAAGTCCAACCACTAAATCCATATCAAATCCAAGCAGGCCAATTGGGTAATGTAATTGACATGGAGCATCGACCAGCTATTTTCTGTTGTCCCTCTGCTTGCTGAATGCCCCCAAGTGAGAGATTTTATTCCTTGTGAGGGAAAGGAGGACGTAGCCACAGCCCAGGCTGGGTGCTACTACAGCTCAGCAGTGCTGCAGGAGCTGAGGTAATGCATGAAGCGCCACTGCTCCGCCCGGCCACGCGCCTGCTGTCTGGCCACGTCAGACACAAAGGGAAGGACGTCTGCTCCAACCTCAGCCAAAAAAGGACACGTGCACATGGTTCAAGCCCTGGCTGCAAACAGCTCAGGCTGTGCCGGCGGCCACCGTCGTGCAGCTCAGAGGGAAGGACGTGAAGGAGCAGCCCACATGCAGGAGATGAGGGATCCTTCTCTGCTCTCGCTTGGGTGTGCAGGGGATCCCACCATCCAACCCTTTGTTCCTTTGGAAAACATGTGCAGCACATCCCGCTGTTTGTGTTTAATCCAAACTAATGTCCTACGGCTATGATACGCGTGATTATGGCAGTCATTTTTAATTAGGGGTTGTGTCAATGTATTGACATTTTTATCGCTTTTGGGGGAAGTAGAGGATATTTTCCTGCAGGTGAACTCCTCTCTTCATGGTTCTCTATCCCTCCAGCTGCACTGCTTGCTTATTAAAAAATGCAATGTTATTAAGCCCATTCTCTGTGCAAGTTAATTAAGCAACTTACACAACACCAAATCCAAGGAATGCAGAATTCAAATTCCCTCCGTCCTATGGCAAGATTTATAATCTTATCCTGAGTGCAGCATTTATCATTAACAAAAGCCCTGGCAGGATCTGGGAAACAGTGTGATGAAGAGAATTCATTCAATGTCTTGCTGGGAAGTGGAGTTGCACAGGAATGGTTCAAGCCACTCATTGCCTGCCGTGATGAACACTCTGCAGAAGATATTGTTCACACAGAAAGAAAAGGGAAGGCAGATCATTACATTTATTGGTCATTGCTTTTCGAGAGTCAATAAAGACCTACTGGAAAAGACATGGTTAGTAGCAGGAATATATCTTTTTTGTCTATCTCAAAAATACCTTTGGCTCAATGGCTTTATATAACACCAATGGAAGATCTGACTTCTGCCTGATATGTCAGGATGAATCTTCCTCCTGGGTGATGGTCCTGGTGTAGATAGTGCTCACATTGTACAGTTTTTAATGTCTTTAACCATCTTTAGCTTTGTATCCTGATTGCCCCTTCAGGCTATATGTCAATGCCATCTGGGAGGAAAAGAAGAGACTTCTGCTCACTCGCTGCTGTAACGCAGATCTCTTGACTAAAACTGTGCTTCCATCACTTGACAAACTGTCAGCACAGAACAATTATCTGCCTGTTGGCTTGCTTGTCCTTTCTTTTCTCCCCTCTCAGAAAAAAAAAAACAAACATAAAAACAGGTGAAGGAAAAGGATTGCCAGAAAAAAAAACTCCATGGGCAGAATCCAGCTGATCTGATCACACCACCTGAGATGCTTGAAGATGTATCAAAGGCAGAAGTGAGTCCCCTCTTTTGCCACCTCCTCTTCCTATGTTTGACTGGTGAATGCTCTCAGGTCTTTGGGACAGAGAACGTGCCTGTTTTTGTCTGTCTTAAGTCCTGTACAAATATGGATATTAGAGTATTAGTGTATTTAGGCTGATGTGTTCAGCTGCTCTAGATTATGAATTGCTCCTCAAAATAACGTTTGCATTCGCCGACAAAGGTCTTTATTACAGAAAAGGGTCAAGCAAAAAGGATTATTCTTGCTAATTATTCGCTGTTATTTAATATTTGCACAAAAGGTTTGCAGGACTGAGTCCTCAGGATTGCCTTGTTTGAGAAGCTAATAGGGTTTCCAGGAAACCAGCAGTGTCTGGTGAGCCATCAGAGCAGCCTCTTAGTGGATATGGGAAACAATTAGATTTGATGTAGTTAAGGATGGTTGGCTAAAGCTTTCTAATGATTTAGCCAGGACTGATCCTGGGATTTTCAAAGTCAGTGGTAAGACTTCCACTCAGAGCTGTGCTTTATGGGAAATCGACTGAAGCAGATCCAATTTTTTCAGACCATGGATGGGTTCAGGATCCAGGCAGCTTCTGGCTGCAAAGGGCAGATGTGACTGAGCTCCAAACCCTGCTGTTGTCTCAGGAAGGATTTGGGAGTGAGCAGGGCTGAAACATAAATTGTTGGGAAGGATATTTACAATGTTTTGGCCCATGCCTTACGTTTGTTCCAACACATTATCAGTCCCTAGAGAGGTCCCCTGAAGTCTACCTGCTGCCTACTTCTTGGGCCTCATATTTCCTTGACTAGACCATAATGGCTGTATTGTTATAGAAATTCCATGCTAAGTGAACTGAATTTCTCGTTCCATAAAGACATAATTAGGCAATAAAAACACAGCCAGAAATCTTCAAGCATGGGTGCCTGAAGGTGGGATCCACTTTAGGCATTTAAATGCATGGCCCAACTTTTGGGATGCCTGTGTATTCATATCTTCTCTTGCTTCCAGAGAACTGGAAGCTTCCCTGCTATTCAAGGTGGCTTTGGGGGTACCAAACTTTTTTAAGGAAAAAAAAAATTCATTTACCTTCCCTGGTTTTATTCAAGTTGCAATGCCTCCAGCTTCCCCTTTTGACATTTTTTAGTAACTTAATTATCATTACCAAGGAAGAATGTTAATCATGGTGTTGTTTAAATTGGATGCAGCTCTGGGGAGCAAGAGAAAATAACCCAGATTGTGGGAGCAGGTGGGAGGAGCATGGTATTTTGGAAACCCAGGCCACAACCTGCTGGAAGCATCTGTTTCTACTCAACCTTTTCCTCTAGAGTCCCAACATCATTCACAGCCCAGACTGCCAGCAATTAGAGACTTGTGCTGGGGATTTCCCTTCCCCTGTGCTTTCATCCCAAGGATGTTCAGGAATCTCAGGACTGGCAGTGACAGCGTTGAGGTGATTTGCCTGGACAGTCAATTGTGCCTCAGCAGATGCCTTTGCTTGATGCTTCTGAGATGGGAATTAGGAATTGGGATTGAGTAGTGCACAGAAACCAGCACGGATAATTACAAAGCAATTAATCATCCAGGACAGATAATGTGTCAAGAGGTGACTCAGAGTCACAAGGTGGGGGCACTTGGCTGTTTTGCCAAGGGCAGAGTGTGCTCTGAGGCTTCGACTGGAAAGCAACAAGCACCCTCACTACCCACAGCTGCAAACTCTTTTTTCCTCTATTTGCAGGCAAAAACATCAACAAATGCATTTTGCACTCACTGCAGTCTTCTATCAGGCCGGGCCAAAGCCCTTTTGGGTGCATAGTTGGGTGCTTAGAAAGATGCTGAAGTTGTGAAGATAAATAAATTAAAAAATAGAACCTGTAATTTCTTTTAGACGTTCATAAGAAATCAGTTGGTGGCAAGAAAGAAAATATGCCTTATCTGACTGAAGTATATGGGAAAAAAACCCACATGTAGACTTCAGTAGGATATCGACATGGATGTTTAGGCACTGTTAAAGTGCAGAAAAATGAGCCAGCAGGATCGAGTAAACACTATTTTCCTTTTAGCTGAGGAAAGGCAGTCCTGCAGTAACATTGCTCCTCATGTCTTTGCCTTTTAAATACCCAGTGACATAAATATTAGATGCATGTTAAGCCTCAGATCCATCAAACGACTCCTTATCTTGAAGCACATGAATACTCTTGGCCCTAGTAGGAACACTTAAATGGTACCTAAAGGACCACGGATGTGAAATGAAGTAAACCTAATTTCTAGCGTGTGAAAAGAGACAAATCTCTGCACACTCTCATGCCAGGGGTTAACTTGGGCCAGGTGTTGTTAAGAAGTAAAGACATGAATAATCTCCCATCAGACTTTTGCATCCAAATGGCTCATTAAAGCTGCAATATTCATAGCTCGTGAGAGTCCTATAGATTTACGATGGCTGGGAAAGGATGACGCCCAGCTTACTTTCCCACCAATCATTATTACACGGGAAAGTGAGCGATTTTCTTTAACTCCATTAGCATAACATTAGTGCTTATAAGGACCAGACTGGGGTAGAGACTTTACAAGTCTTTTAGGTCAACAAAGTCAAAGAGGAAATTCTTTTTTAGGAGCTCAGCTTATATCTCATTAACAAAAAACATTGTTGGCTAGTGCAGACTGTGAATATTTGCAGTTTGGGCAGTGAGGAAGCAGTTGGTATGCCCAACTCCTTCCCAGCTCTGGCAGCCCTGTAACATCTGATTTCTCCTCTAGAGCTGTTGAAGGAGCATCTCGACGCATGGTACAAAACACAAGGAGGGAACTTCAGATCAAAACCTTTATTCTTCCCTGCAGCAGATGAAACACTGAGGCATGGGGCTACTAGGTGAGCATGAGCAAACACATATGAAAATGCACAGCATTTGTAATGGGAACACACTGGGTTACAGCTGAGATCAATGGAGGAGGGTGATAGGGATTATCAATCTTGAGTGGTCTCCCTTAGGCAGAATTGACTGGCAACCACATAATGACTCGGGCTCAGCCCACCAGTTTAGAGCCCGAGTGATAGATCTGTAGATGCCAATCATCATCATTTCCTTATCAGCAGTGTTCAAGTGGCCATTTGTCTTCTACCTGAGCCGCCCTGGTCGGGTTCAAGTGTTTCATCCTCCAAGGTGCGTCTGAGAGATCAATGCACAGCTACAGCTGGTTGAAGGGGACCAAATCCATTGAACAGTTGATTTGGTTCCATTTTACCAGCTTTAGCAAAGCATTTGGCCTCATGGGCTGTGGCAGCAGAGAAGAGAATTCCTCAGGGTCTTTTCTTTCCCAGCTGCCTGGACCTCTTCTGAACTTGCTGCCTGATGCCGCACTGGTTCAAATGGCTTCACTTTCAGGCAGTCAGGATTTATTTAAGCTTCTTAGAGGCTACAGCTGAAGAGTGGGACTGAATTAAAGAGGCAGGTTGAACAGCAGTGGAATAGTCTGCAGCAGTAACCATCAGCCTGAAGCGTTTTTAAACTTGATATTTGGCTCTGTCTGTTCTGAGAGCCACGTTGCTATTACAGTGTGACATAAGTAAATGTTATCTACTGTTTTCATCCAGATGCTTTAATTATCACCTCCTGCCTCCTTTCCTTTCAGTGTTTTATGGTGTGCTGTCCTCCTCCACGCCCTGTTTTGGTGTCTGAAATGACACCTAACACACAGCAACACAGATGTCGTCTGCTACAACCAGCCCAGCCCACAGCCAAGGAACTCAGGCTGCGGAACTCTTCTCCCCTCAGGGCTCTCCTTGAAAAATGGGAGGGAAAAGGCTGGAACACCTGAAATCTTTTTTTAGAGGTTAGCAAACTTTGCTTCCCTACTGTGAAGCCTCCTGTGTTTTCTCATCTGGCATTAAAATCAGCATTTTCAGGAGGTTTAAGGCCTGCTCAAGCAATGGTTGTTATTTGCCATCACCAGAAACCAACAGGAAAGTAGTGGAAAAGAAACAAAAGGGAGGAATTAAAGGGAAAAAAAAAGAAAAAAAAAGCTTTTCTTTCTTGCAATATCATAATCTGGCAATTTGTCACCAAATGGGGAAAGCAAGTCCCTGCTACACCACTGCTGTCCAAGTCACTCCTGTGATGGTTCACATCTCAGCACTGGGGTGTTGATTTCTCCTGGAGAGCCCTGCAGCACGAACACCCCACTGCTAAAAATAACCCAGTAAATCAAATTTAAAAAATCACAGCAGCTCCGATCATTTCTGCAGTGGGAGCCAATAAAGTCAGGCCTTTCCTCCTTAACCCGGAGCCACGCGCAGATATTGCACATTGCCATGTGCATAACCTATTTAAAGAATTTATATGCGTCATAAGGCAAAGGTGACTTTTCCCCCCTCTCCCTCGCAGCCCACCATGCTGCAAGATGATACCAGGGAAAAGCACCTGTGCTTGGAACCTCTGCATGCAGAAATATTGCAAGTGGGCCAGCATTTTATCTCTTGAAGAATTACAGGCTTCGCATTGTCACGGTAAGCACTGCAGATCACTTAACTGCCCAAACCCGTTACTCTAAGCTGCCTATAAATAAATGGAGAGAGAGATGGAGAGAGAAAGGGAGAGAGAATAGCGTTTTAAAAAGAGCTCTACAATTAATTTAATCAAGTTATCTGTAGGTACCTTTTCAAGAGACAATCAAGCCAAGGAACTAAATGGAAACTTAGACAGTGAAGACCTGGAAGTATTAAATTCATCCTTTGCTAACTTACAGGAGGCAAAGGAAAGTAATTATCTGCTGGTGGTTTGGTATAGGTGGAGATGCCATTAGCGACCAAGACTGTACAGAGCTAAGTCCTGATGGGCACATGGGTTTTGGGATAGAGTGCACCAAACTGCCTGAGCATCACACCTCAAACACAGTCTGCTCCCCAGGTATGTGGGCACTGTCCCAGCCCTGTTGGTTTGGGGTCAGTCCTTTGAAAGCAGCATTGTGGGAGAGAGATGTGGGGTTACACTGAGCATCTTCTGCTGGGGACCAGATTTGTCCCCACCATCCCCCTTTCTTTGCTTTGGGGAGTGCCTTGGAACATATTTGAAATCAATGTGAGTCAGCGTGGATGTTCTATAACATTTTGTTTAAATTCTCTGCAGTGAGTTATGGGTAAGGTTTTCCTTTTTAGAAAATTAGGTTTTCTCTTCTGGATGTCATTAATCAAAACTAATGATGTCTCTCTGGTGGTGAGGCTTTCCCAGCAGCTGAGAAAGAGCAGCCCACATTATAAAGCTGGAGAGGGCTGCAACCCACGGGGACTTGTAGCATCCCAGCAGGGAGGGCCCAGGTCTCTGCCAGCCCAGCACTGCCAGGCTGGGCTCTGGGGCTGTACCAGCCACCCTAACAAGAAGGATTACAGATGTGGTCAGAGATCTGAGCTGGGCTCAAGCCCCTGATATCTCTAATGAGCCAGTGCCCATTTCCAAATGCCTGTGGGCCCCCTCCACTATGAAATAGGAGGGATTCAACAGGCACGATCTGGCAGCAGAGTTTGCCAATCCTAACAGCCAGGCAGGGATCAGTGCTGCTCACCTTTCCTGCCTGTGCCCATGTTGCAAGTGCAGTCTGTGAGAGCACCCCAAACCAGGCCCAAATCCTCAACCCCCCCACACCAGCACGGTCAGGTTTGTGTCCAGAGCAAAGCCAGGTCTCATCATCTCCCCATGAAACTGGGTCTTGCATTGGAAAGGAGTGGAAGGAGCAGCTGCTGGTGCCTCCCTGCACATGGCCCTGCCATCCTGAGCTGGGCAAAGCCCACAGGAGCTGTGGGATGGCACTGGAGAGCCATGGGCACGTGGAGTGAGAGCCAGGGGCTAGAGGTGAATCCAAGCCAAAACAGCAGGACAAACACGTGCCTGGCTTGTCCCTCTCTGGTGATCCTTGTGTGGTGCCTGTGCCTGGCTGCTGGCTCTGCTGTCCATGATTATATCCAGGAAAATGGGCAAAAGCCCCCAGTGCTGTGGCGAGAAGGATCAGTAGTACCCAACACGAGAATCTCCTCTATTGCAGATCTTTCCACTTCAGCCTCAATATTCTAATAAAGACGTGTTATAGACAGTACAGAAAAGGCAAAGAATTTATCAGCATTTGTCGATATTCCTAATGAAGCAGAAGATTCAACATGCAATAGAATTAGCCTACAACAAACCCTTGCATGGGGCCCATCCTTCTGAGTCCAGAAATCTCCTGCCTATTCCAGTCCAATACACTTTTGAGAAATGAGCAGCCCTCCAAGCCATTATCATTATAAGCTAAAAGGCCAAATGAGACAAAGTACTGTTGCTCTTCATCTGAATAAACAAATCATTTTTAGATCAAATGCATGAACAATTTATCATTCTAAAATCCAATCAAAAGGAAAAAAACAACAATACAGAACATTGATTTCCTACAGCTTTATCTTAATGAAGTGCACATTCCCTTTGTAATTAGCTTTGGAAGGCTTTTTTTTTCCCCCTTTCCCAAAGCTAATGTGTTATTTGATTTCCATCCAAACATTACTAAATTGGAGGAAATTTCCTCAAAATGAAGTGGCTTTTGATAATACAGGAAAATGTCTACTCTCTCACATTGCTATTTTTTCCCCCAAACAGACATACTTATACTGCAGATGATTCAACTTTATTGCATGGTGTCTTTGCGAGGATGTTTAAATCAATGCCACAGTTGCAGGATTCTGCCCAATGTGCCATTTGTAAACCAGAAAATACAAGCTCGCTGCTTTTATCCTTTCCCTTACAGACATCAAATATTAATTGAACTTATATTATTACAGGAAAAAAGTAGACTGTGTTTTATTAACATTTCTAAAATTAAAGATGTTCAACCCAAAAAGTAGACTCCAGACAAGGCTCAAGAGCCTTCTGCTTGGATTTTATTTGACTTAATTAAAAAGCATTCAGTTCCTTTGTGCACTAAGGCAGTTGCTGACATTGCAGTAGCCACTCAGTCTTTCAAACCAAAACTATTACCTGAACTTAATAAAGTGTCTATTTAATTTATACACCCTCATGAACTCACCTGTCTCCAACAGACACAACATGGCTCTTGCTAATGAGCAGCGAAGGCAGCAACTTGACAGCAAACTCACCAGCACCCCGGGGTAACTAAACTGCCCCAAAACATCATTTCCATCTCCTTTAATCTGCCTTCTCCACCATTACTGCTGTTATCCAACATCCCTGAGCCAGCAATCCCTGTGCATTGCTGGAAATGCTCCTTGCCAGGCCACCTCTCCCTTCCTCCCCTAAATATCTCCTTTAAATCTTCTCTTCTTTAAACGGTGCTGACCAGAGGACTGTTGCTTTCACCCTGCTTCAAGGAGTACTTGCTGAAATTAAATGGCTAATTTGATAGTCTGCTTTTATTTGGGTGTATTGCCAAGGTACATGGCAATATCTATGACACAGAATAAAGTCCCATAGCCTACAGTATCACCTTATTCCTTTGTTATAAAGAGCATCTAAAGTGACTTTATCTCTTTCTTAACCCAAATTTTGGTCCTAGGCCTCCTCTAAAAACAACAGTCAAGCAGGACCTGCTCTGTTCTGACAATGCAGAGCATCATTACCTGGAGGGAGCTGGCTCCATGTGGGAACAAGAGGGTCCCTCCAAAGCTCTTTTCCTGAAGAACAAGACTCTGAGCAGGACTCTGGGAGTTGCACCTCCTGAAACTGGCTGTGGAAATAGTTGTGGTGTTGGATTTTTTTGTTTTGCTACTCACACTCTCAAAAGAGAACAAAGCCGTTCCCTAATACAGTTTGTGCATTTTATGGACCTAACAATTAAAGAGGTTTTAAAACATGTGCTGACTGCATAATCCCATACAGGGGAGTGCACTCAGCGTTTTTAAACAGCAACTGATAGGAGATACCACTTAATAGTACAAAACACCAGCAGTCCTGTTAAAATCAATAGAAAATTAGATTCTATGAAAATGCAATATGTGTCCAATTAGTTATAATTGGAGCAAATGGTGATGCAGATAAACTCCTGGAGGCAGAGGGATTTGTCCGGAACGCTCCCCGCCGGCCGCGGGCACGGCGCAGGATGGGCCCTGGCGGGCTGTGCCATGCCCTGGGCAGGAGGCATGAGCCACCTCACACAGGAATTTTAACTCTTGTCTAATTATGGAGCTGCTCCAAGCCCTGCAGGACGGCTCTGGTGCACCACTGTGCTTGGTGAAAAACAATCGGCTGTCACACGGAAACCCCCCTGTTGGACTTGACAAATTATGCCAGCAAACCTGTTTAAGAACTAAAACATCCTTGGACACGGTGACAGGCAGAGAAAGATGCTGTGTTATTTATTTATTTGTCCAGCAGAGTTTAAGAATTGTGGCTTAGTCCCACCAATGCTCACTTTTTCCCCCTGCCCGACTGTTGTTATATCAGTTTAAACTCCTTCCCACCAATTATTTCTCAGGCTTCTTTCAACTCCTAAAAACTCAGCTGCACGGCAAAATGGGAACTAGGTTATGCAATTCTAACGCTTTATTTTTAACATCTTTGGTGCAACATATTGCCCTCCTCTTTGTTCCATCTTATGACTAAAGAAAAAGAGCGAAGATCCCCTATTGCAGCGGCACAAAGGGACATCCCCAACCAAACATCTCCCCAAACCTTCCTGCTCTCACACTGGATGAAAACACATCACTTGCAGTACAACAGTTATTCATTTGCACCAATTTTTTTTTAATATGAACACTAAAAAGTAACAGTTATTTTACCAAAACTATTGGCTCAGAGCTAAGCAGCAATAACTTTCTGCAGGGTTCATATTTTCTTATTTTATATTAGTTATTCAAATTATTCAAAGACTTATGAGCACAAAGAGAAACAAAAACCTTCATGTTCACCCAGACCTGAAACCTTTTTTGCATTACTGGACACAGTTACTTACACTGTTAAGGGAACTGTCTCTCAAGAAAGGGAAAAAAAAAGAAGTAGCAGCTTTTATTTGTTACGCTGACTCAGCCGAATGTTGGAACAAGAAACATTAAGCCCCAATCCATAACTTTTGTGGCCGCTCAAAGGACGTATTCTTCCTCGACACTGATAAAAGTTTAATATGTAGTTGCCCAGGTTTTTAATAAACTTGTCAACAAAAGAGCAAGGCAAATTGATGGGGACCTTCCCAGGAATAAATTCAGTTTCAAATAGGCTAAATGAGCGTGGAGGACAGGGAGGGGACGGTGCACGGGCGACTTTTGCTGGGCTTTGCAAAAATGGCACAATAGATTTTAGCGGGTGCATCTTATTGTCTCAAAGACAAGGTTTTAGGACAAAGCTGGCTTAGTTTAAAGAAGGCAAAGTGGTGCAGCACAGCTCTGACACCGTGAGGGACAGAAGGGGCAAAGCCTGGACATAAATACCCACCTCACCCTGCCTGTACATTCCAGTCCCCATCCCACAGCAGACCTGCCCAGGGACAAGCTGCAGTGTTGCTCCATGATTTTATCCCCAATCTCCCACTGCACACATTTCAGGACATCCCTTTCAGGTATCACCTGCACAGCCACCTCCTCTGTTTGGCCAAACCTTCCCCGCTCCCTGCTCCATCATTTCCCTTCAAATACTCAAGGCTGAGCTTAATTCAAGCACAACACAGTCCTTTTCCTCTGCTCTTTCAGAAGCTGTTTCACTTTCCTGCAGTCCACAGCTACAAGCACCCCTCACTTTTAGGGACCAGTTACCCTCCATCCCCATGGCCATGAGCTCCAGGCAGTGGCCACCTCCTGTCAGTTTGGGAGTGAATTGACCGCATGAGATTCATTACTTTCTGCTAGCTTCAATCAAGTTGGTGTCTTAAATTATTAAGACTTGGGGTTTTTTTGTTAATTTGTTTACCCAAAGTAAACACAAATATTAAATCAGAGCTTCCAATAGTCTTGCTGCCAGGAAATTAACAAGCAAATTAACCCGCAGCCTCCCAGAAGGGAACACCAGTCTTCATCTGAGCAGCTCCTTGTGACACTTTCCTTCCCATGTCACCATCTCCCTCCTGACACCTCCCTTTGCTTGCACCAAACAGCTTGAAAAGCCAAAAGTCAAGTCCTGTCTCCAATGCCAGGTCACAGCCCAGATTGGAAGTGCTCTCCTGGCCGTTGTGGTGAACTTTATTCCTGATTGCTCTTAGGTCACTGGATTCCTGCTCCTGTGGCTTTATCCGACTCCCCAAATGCCAGGGTTGACTTGCCTATGTAAGGTCTTTGCAGGGATGGCTCCTGTCCTTACAGCTGCTGGGTGACTTCTGCGGTTGGTGGTCACGAGTCCCACGCCTCCTGGCTGCCCAGATGCCACCTAATCCTGTCCCCCCAGAAGGGCAGCTGAGAATGAGCACTATTTATAGCAGTTGTTCCCCAGTTCCCCCAGGCTCATCAGTCTGCCCAGGGCTTTTTTAGATAGCGGCACAGGTCCCAGCACAGGCCATATCTGGGCATGGCGAGGCATTTACAGGCACGGCTCTGTGCTTCAGGAGAAAAAAAAAAAGGAAAAAGAAAAAAAAAGGAAAACCCTGCATCTGTTGGAGATGTCAGTCACCTGCTTCCCTTGAGCCTCCTGAGCACCACCAGCAACTGTTCCAACTGCTAAAACCTTTGACTATCAAATCCTGCTTTAGTCAAGACATATCTGTGTCTGAAAGCCTTCCCCTTGCACACAAGGGGGTCATCCACCAGCGCTGCTCCTCCATACAGACTGCTCTGGAAAAATACAGACTAACCCAGGGATGCTCGCCAGTGCTGCTTACACAGTGCAAGCAAAAACACCTCAACAGCGTCACGGGGTGCTGCAGTGGTCAGGAGACAGCAGCCCACAGGGACACTGCTCCACCTGTGGGTGCCCACCGAGGTGCCAAAAGCTGGGCATGTACAGCTGGTTAAGCCTGGCATAGCCCAACCTGCCTGGTGCTGCCAGAGTCACCCAGCATGCAGGATCACACTGGTGACCAGCAAGTAGGCCTGCAGTGCTGGAGCACCCCACAGACCCCAGCACCCCTCATCCTACTGGGATACCCCCAGCCATCCACGGCTCCATGGGCTCATGGAAGTTGAGGTCCAGCCTCCATACCTCACACCTTGCACCTGATCCAAGGTGTGGGGAATGCAGATGAGTGTTTGCATGACAGCACAAGGGCAGAGGGGCACAGTCCAGGCAGGCTGTGCCATCTCCCCAAATACACACCAGGCAGAACTGTGCGGGCCAACGCCAACCAAACCAGGACAATCTTGGCCTCACATCACTGCCTCCACCTTCCTTGGCCACCTCCACCTTCAGCCTCGCAGTGCAAACACAGCTTCAACAACTCCCCAGCAAGAACCCACTTTGCCTCGGAGAGAAACTGAGGCAGGCGAGCTACACAACTTGTCTGCAAGCCCAGCAAGCCAGCAGTGGAGTCCACATTCTCTCTTGGCTCCCATCCTTGGAGCACTGGGCTGCTCTCAGCGTGACCCCCCACATCCCAGTGGGAAGGCAGCTCTCAGCATCGCTGTCTGCTTGGCTGAGGTCAACAGCAACTTCAGCATCACGCAGCAAACATTTAACCCAGCATCTTCTCCGGGAGGCACCCGCCAGTGCGGCACTGAAATCAGCCCTGGGCTTTCCGGGGAGGGATCCGAGCTGAGGAGCGAGGATATTTCTCTTGCTAGGAACACGCCACCCCCTCGCCCACAGTCACTGCTAAGTGCAAGATGTGGTGAAAGTCTTTAAAAATAGATATATTCCCAAGCAATTCATGCCGCTTGCATCTGGCAGGGCAAACCTAGCATGGAAGCTCTTTCTTACTGACTAAAAAGGATTGTTAGCAGCTCGAGGCTCGTGCAACCTTGACTCTCTCCTCCTCTCTTCAGGGCCTTCTCTTGTTCTTGGCCTAAACCAGTCCTGGGAAACACAAGGGAAGCCCTGCCCAGCTAGGCTGGTGTCAAAGGCAGGGAAAGATACTGCAGTGCAGTGCTGATCTCTTCTGCAATCGGACGTGCAGACTAGCCCGAGTGCTGAGTCAGCACAATTTCTTTTTTGATTGGTTGATCTGAGTAACATATTTTCAATGTATGCTAAAGGGGCAGCAATTAATACCTTTTCCCCCTTTCCCCACTTTCCCAAACCGCTTCGAATCGAATGCACAAATCTCACCCCCAAAGTCACACTCTGGTCCTAAATATTCTGAGGCTCTTTCATTTTTAATTTAGGGCATTAAAAAAAAAAATTTGCAATCTAAGCGATGCTCACTTTGATCGACTTGTGCTGCTGCAGCTAAAATATCTGTCCTGCAGGTCAATCTAATCATGCTTAATAGCAGTTTATTCTTCAACGCAACATTTTTCACGTTGGGTCGACAGTTTTAAATGAGATTGCTGATGCACCCCTTTACTAATGCTTTTACCAGGGCCAGCACATCCCTTGAAATACTTGTGCAATAAAATGCTTTATTGCTCTTGATGAATGCACTATTAAACTTGAATTGCAAACATGCCCCCCCTTTAAAAAAAAAATAGAGGGTGCTAGAATTTATGGGACCACCTGTCTTCCAACATTAAGTAATAGTAACAACTGTAATAATGGATCATCAATGCAACAAACACACAAAAGTACAGAAAAAAGAAAAACCCGCCAGGGAAAACCGCATGGCACAAATTTGTCCCTGTGCTCTCATGTGCACG